TGATCACAGCACTCAGCACGGATTGGCCAACGACGATTGGTTTGTGAGTTTCGTCTTGGTGGATGCTGTACCTACCTCACTAACGGTCGCTCCGCGCTTTTGTGAACAGACATGGCCTGAAACACTCAAATTCAAATTGCATTTTACATAACACATGGGCACTATATTTTTCCGGGCCACTGTTAACACCCAGTCATTTTTTTAGTGAATTTTTATATACACCATAGGGTGTTATATACGGGGGATTACGGTATGGAACTCTCCTGAGGACACCCCTTCTTTTCCTAGTGGCTAGGATTAGTGACTGTATGACAAGAAACTCAGCCACTAACCACTGCGTTATAAGGGCTTCTTAATAACGGGTCAGTGTGCCCATAGCCACTCAGGCTCTGCACCTGTGGCCCTTCCCCGAGGATCTTCTCTAGGGTAACCCCAGCAGGTCTCTCGACACCCCCCCTCGCTGGAATAGGCGGAGGACACGAGCGCCTCTGTAGCGCTAGCACATATGCTCTAATACGATGTCATAAAGTCACCAGTCCTAACCACTGGGACAAGAAGGGATTGTTAGAATACTTTAATAATGGAAATGAGAGAGAACAAGGGAGATATAGGGTTTGGGTTGTACTCTCTAAGAACACACACCTATTCTAGCCAATAGCTTCTATATGCACAAGTTCTTAGAACTGAAGAATTGTTGAATAGAGAGAGAGTACAAGGGTATATACCTAAGAGTGTTGTACCCTCTAAGAGGCGACCCTATACAGTCTATACAAACATGAGTTATACTTATGTTTGACACACCCCTTAGACTGCATAGGGGAATGACCTGAACAAGCAGCTCAGGGCGGCACTACTAGTCCAACCTCTGAGACAAGGGTCTAAAAGACCAGTCAGACGGAGTTGAGACAAGGCAAGAACAAGACCAGGGCGGCACTACTAGTCCAGCCACTGGGAGAGGACACAAGTCCAGTCTGAGTATGCATATAAAGGACAGTACAAAGTCAAGGCCCTAGCAAGTGAGAGGCTACAGGAACTAGACCAAGCTGTACGCAGTGCCGCTGATGATCTTTAGGCGCAAGTGCCTTCGTAAAGATATCAGCTGTGTTGGCACCTGAGGCCAAGTGTACTACGCGAGCCTGGCGTCGCTGCTGTAGCTCGCGCAGGAGGAAGTATCGCAGCTGAATATGCTTCGCTCTGCCCTCGAGTCGAGGCTCCAGACACAGGAGGATCATGGCCCTGTATGTATAAGTTGATAGGGATGTCCTCAGGAGAGTTAGGCTCCATATAACTATTAATCACCTTCCCTAGAGAAAGCATCCCTAGTATCCTCCAAAGAGAGAGAAGAGGTTCGACAGGGCTATCTTGATGTCTTGACACTGTTAAAGTCTGAACTAGGAAGAAAAGAGGAGACCGCCATGAAAATGACGGCTAAGGGTTTAGCTAGGAAGTTGACGAGAGTGTCGAGAGAGAAAAGAGGGCTGGATTAGGAAGAGAGGGGAGTACAAGGAGGGGTTTGTACCCCTTACAGAAAGGTTCAATAACAACCTACCAAGCCTATATATATGATAACTTATATAATTTGAACACACCCCCTAGGCTTGGTAGTCACACACCCACCCAACACACCACACACCCCCTAACCTAGCACCCCCATTCCAGCCACAGGGACAGCGACACTAGGTCGGTCGACCCCACGGTGCGTGAGGTAAGCACGGCGCGGCGGTCAGCAGCCGTCAGCCCACGCCCCGCACGCCAGCCTCAAGCGTGAGGCTGGACCCCGCCCCGCCCCGCCCCGCCTCAAACGTGGCCAGGCCCCGCGACGGTGGGACGGCCGGCGGGAGTCAGCCGTCGGTTGTGGCAAGTTTCAGGACACAGAGGAAGGGGGGCGGGGCGTGGTCCAGCCTCACGCTTGAGGCTGGCGTGCGGGCAGCAGGTGTGGCGGCGCCATGAACGTCGCGCGGCAAGCTGCCGTCCGACGACGCTGCCACGGCAGCATTACGACGCCGACACATCGCGGCGTCGATGCAGCGGTGGGACGTCGCCGCTGCGATGGTAAGCACGGCGCCGTCACAGCAGTGTGGCGTCGACGCCACGCGTCACGACGCGACGGCACGGCAGGAAGCGGCATGGCCGCCACGGCGGCACGGCAGGAAGTCGGAAGGCAGTGAACGAGAACGCAGCGGAAGCACAGAGGGGAGCAGGCCCAGGAAGGACGTCCTGCTCTGATACCATGTTAAAGTCTGAACTAGGAAGAAAAGAGGAGGCCGCCATGAAAATGACGGCCAAGGGTTTAGCTAGGAAGTTGACGAGAGTGTCGAGAGAGAAAAGAGGGCTGGATTAGGAAGAGAGGGGAGTACAAGGAGGGGTTTGTACCCCCTACAGAAAGGTTCAGTAACAACCTACCAAGCCTATATAAATTATAACTTATATAATTTGAACAGACACCTCCCCTCGCTGGGATAGGCGGAGGACACGAGCGCCTCTGCAGCGCTAGCATTGGGAATTGAACCCGAGTCACCAACGCTTTGATATCGTGTCAGAACTCAGCCACAAACCATTGAATTAAAAGGGCTTATTAATAGCGAGTCAGTGCTCCCATAGCCCCCCAGGCTTGTGGCCCTTCCCCAAGGATCTTCTCACGGATAACCCTAGCGGGTCTCTCGACAAGTACAATCAGGGCAGTATCATTGAGTGTAAATGCATGTACATGTGGTAGGTCTGGGGCCACGTGGATTGGCCAAGAGTGCTCTACTCTACAGCAGGGGGCAAGGAGTCCATGTGAGGACAGGGAAGTTGCTACTGCTGGGATGAAAGAAAGGAATGGAGTACCGGTACCATACCATACCATGAAAGGATCAGATTAACCTACACCTGGAGGAACAGAGAGAGCAAGTAATTGCCTCGCGGGAATTCGAGCAGATGGGGGGGCTGCAATCAATCACCCACACGCTTCATGTTGCTGCAGTGCCACAACATTGATGTGCCATGGACCACTGCTGACGTGGCACGTGCCAGGTGTGCATGCAGCTGTCACCGGGATTGGCCAGTGATGGCTCTGATGACCTGTCAACGGAACACAAGGGACGACGTCAGGCAAAGGCGCAAACAACAGAGACAGCAGCATTGGGGACACCTTAAAGCGAGAACTGTGGTGACATGGTTTCTCCTGACACGGCCTCCTGACTGCTTTCTCCGCAGTGTGACCTGACAGATGAAGCACGCTTTGACTCCTGCCAGAACCGCAGCTAGCTGCAGCGGGATTTTTTCAGAATTCTCAAGAATCAACCGCAACACGATGCAGGGCATGGCAGGATGAGAGCACGACAGAGAGACGATGCTCGCTAGGGTTCATGATTCATCCCTGCAGACAGCTCATGAATCCTGGCTCGGTTGGATCCAGCATGAATCCATCAGCACACCTAGCTAGTCAGCAGTACGCCCATGCCCATTGCTGCTGGCATGGTATGCCCATCCCCACCACACCTGTCCCGTCAAACCTTACACTGACCACTGCCGCACACAATGCAACATCCCATCGTCATCCCATTCCATCCCCTCCCGTTCCATCCCCATCCCCATCCCCATCCCATCCCCATCCCCTCCCCTGCAATCACATCGTCCAAGCAGTGCCTACAAGAAGCCAGCAGCGCGTGGCAGGCACGCAGCAGCACGTACCTCCTCCGTCTTGGGTTGCGCCACGGGTTTGGAGGGCGAGAAAGCGTCGCGCATGGGCGGAACGATGGCGGGGAGCGCCATGCCTGGGGGAGGGCGGAGGCGGGAGGGGGGGGGAGGGGAGGGGGAGGAGAGAGAAGGAGAGAGGGGAAGAGAGAAGAGAGGAGGGAGGAGGGGGGGAAGGGTGTAGTGTGAGGGTTAACGATAGGCAACAGTAGCGCTTTTAAAGCACAAGGAAGAGAGTCGATTCCCCAGAGAAGGTACAGCTTGGTTTGGGCCGGAAAGCAGAGGTGGAGCACACAGGGCCCCACGGGAGACTTTTGAGTCGTGTCAGAAGTCACCTCGGGAGAAAGGCAAGAGCATGAGAGGAGATTTGAGGCGCCTCAAAACTAGATTTGCAGGAAACAAGATGTGAAAAAACGATTTTTGAGTCGACTAAAAAATCACCTAAGGAGAGTTGCAGGAAACAAGACGTGAAAATGCGACTCGGAGAAGGAGACGAGGTTGAGACGCAACGGGAGGGAATGAGAGGAGGAGCTGAAATGCAGGAGCCGGCGAGGAGAGACAGCGAGAGCGACAGCAACAGGGATAGAGATCGAGACGCACCAATACCGGCGATGTTGCCGGTGACGATACCGGGACCACATGGCGACCGGCACCTCGAGCATCGCTTCGAGTCGCCTTAAACCTAAACTGACAAGCACTGCAGAGACTCAGACCTAGACAGGAACTCGGGACGCACCGATGCCGGCGATGATGCAGGACCACATGACGACCGGCTCCTTGAGCATCGCGTTCTTGATCTTCGCCCCGATGGCCGACATCACGGCAGCTTGTATCGAATCGGATAAAAGCGGATCGGGCAAGATCGCCGCGCAGCCGGGTACGAGGGTTCGGTAAGAGCGGAGGAACGGCGTGACGGTGGCAGCGGAGGCGGCGAGATGGCGATGGTTGGATGGACGGATAGGATTGACGGAATGGGCGGGGTGAACAGACGGGAAGGGGTGTCGGTGTGAGGGGGAAGAGGAGAGTGAAGCGAAGGACAGACGAAAGATTGGGCGAAAATCTTATACGGGTTACCAAAAAACGTGTTACATGTTAAATGTCTTTGAAATTAATTACAAATACACAAGACTTTCATGGCAATTCGAATCAGATGATGTAGATGGAATTCCAATTTTGAAGATTATGGCCTCACTGAAAGCATTGTCGAAACCTGTATTTGTACTTGAAGCGCAGAAGCGGGTTGGCCTTTACTGCGTATTACGTCGATCGCGCACACCAGCTCACACCCATCCCATCTCCTATCCCATCCTCACCAGCCTACCCCCCGAGCCAGCGTCAGGTTAAGGCAAATATCTCAAGTGCGTCCGTGCTTAGTTGAGCACCTTACTTAGTCTACTAGTTCTCTGAGTTCTGAGAATACAAAGATGGCTGACACCCAGCCCACGCGTCAGGTTGACGCTGACGTTGACGTTGACGGAAAGCTGAAATCAGCAGCAGAAGAAAACTCAGAGCACGCGGAGAAAGGACGGCCACGAGTCTCGGGGCTTTTCATCTACCCGATTAAGTCCTGCGGAGGAATCGCGGTTGATTCGGCTGCAGTAACCGCTACAGGTGTGCAACGGGATTGACAATGCCGGAAATGCCAGAGTCGATCCCACCTTCAACCCCCCCTGCAGGCCTCCAGTGGGACCGGCAGTGGATGGTGGTGGGCGCATCCTCCCACCGCTTCATCACGCAGTGCCAGTGCGCCGCCATGGCTCTCATGCGCACATTGTCCCGCTCCCCCCCCCTCCTCCATTCACCTGTCCTTGTCCCCTGCAGGCCTGCAGTGGGACCGGCAGTGGATGGTGGTGGATGCATCCTCCCGCCGCTTCATCACCCAGCGCCAGTGCGCCGCCATGGCGCTCATCCGCACCGCGCTGCCGCCTGAAGCGCTGCTGCCCCCGCACACGTGGGCGCACACGCTGCCTGCTGACGCCTGCCTATGTGCGTGAGAGAGGGGGTTGAGGAAGTGTTTGTGAGTGTGAGTGTGGGTGTGGGTGTGAATGAGTGGGAGTGGGAGTGTGGGTGTGGGTGTGAATGAGTGGGAGTGGGAGTGGGAGTGGGAGTGGGAGTGGGAATGTGGATGCATTTTGAGGTGCTTCAGAAGCCGATTGAAGTCCTGCTGCCTGCCGCTGCACTCCTGGGCGCAGCGCATACGCTGCCTGCTGGCAGGTGCCTCTGTGCGTGAGAGAGGGGGATGAGGGAGTCAGAGTGCGACTATGAACTCATTCTGAGGCGCTTCAAAGGCTGCCTGCCTGCCTGCCTGCATCGCTACTGCTCAGCCGCCCCTGCACACTTGGGCTGGGGGGACACATTTTGAGGCGCCTAAAAAATAGACTCCTCCCGCACACGTGGGCTGGGGGGACACATCCTGCTGCCTGCTGACGCGCGCCTCTGTGCGTGATTGGAAGGAATGCAGGTTGATGATGCAGGCTCTGACATCTTGTTTCCGTATCTCATGCTTCACTATCCTCTACCTAATACCTACGATTTTCTCCTCATTGTCGAATTCCCTGTCCGCCCACCCACCCTCTCCCCCCGCAGACATAACGGCCCCTGGCCACCCCCCCCTGCACGTCCCCCTCTCCCTCTCCTGGTACCGGGGGGAGCGCTTGGGGAGGCGGGCAGGCACGAAAGGGGAGGGAAGAGGCGGAGAAGGAGGAGGGGAGGGGGAGCGAGAGGAGAGGGGGAGTGAGGGGAGGTGGGTGACTGTGACGGTGTGGGGCTGGACGGGGAGAGCATTGGATGCGGGGGATGATGCTTCTGAGTGGTTCTCCAGGGTCATGGGAAGACAAGTGCGGCTCGTTAGGTTCGACACAGGTGGGTAGGTGGGTACTATGTAGGCTTGGCGTAGCTGCGTGGTAGGTAGGCTTGACCATGGGTCCTCTCTCACAACCCTTGGTGTTCTTCTGCTCCCCTGGCAAGGTGACCCTCCATTCTTTCAATGCCAACCTTCAATTCTTTCAGCCATCCAACCATCCTGCCATTCCACTGCACCCCATGGCCCGCACGCACGCCAGCACATGCGGCTCACTCTTCCCACCAGCACTGGCTTGGGTGACTTTTGAGTCAACTCAAAGGCCATTCGCCCACTCATTCATCCCCCTTCCGACCGCCCCCCCGCCAGCACATGTGGTGCGCCCCACCAGCCCTGACTTTGCAGATGGGTTTCAAACGTCCTTCGCTGACGGCTACCCCATGCTTCTCATATCGCAGGTTCTCCTCGCATCCCACTCTCAATCAACCTGCATATTCTTTTCCTCGTCGCCTTCCTTGTTCCCCTTTCCTCTTGCTAACTCCCTTGTTCTCCCTCGTCCTCCCTGCCTCCTACCTGTGTCTGCCCAGCAAGCCTCCAACTCCCCTCCTGCTCTCACTCGCCTCTCACCTGCCTTCCTCCCCACACATCCGTGCGGATTCCCTTTCTCTCTCCCTGTGACATTCGCTGTCCACACCACACATCCCTTCTTCCCCATAACACATCCCCTTCTCTGATCTTTCCCCCCATACTGCCCACCCCTTTGCACCGCCCTCCCATGTTCACGTCTACCCCAGGCGTCGCTGTCGTCCCTCAACGCCCGCCTCCCCCACCCTGTTCCTATGAACCGATTCCGGCCCAAGTAAGCCTGGCGCGCTCTGCCTGTTGCCACCCATGAGTTCCCATGTGCTTCCACGTGCTCGCATGCCTTTCCACGTCCACTCTCCAACCCTCCCAACCCACGACACACACACGTAATCGATTTCTCTCTGTCGCTGCCCGCAATAATGCCACCATCACGCCACCTGGTTCTTTGCAGCATAGTGGTGAGCGGGTGTGAGCCCTTTGATGAGGACACGTGGCGGAGCTTCTCCGTTGCACCTTATGGCCATGAAGCATCTGATAAGGAGGCGAGGGGGCGTGACCATGGGTCTGGTAGCTCCGATGCTGCCCCTGTTGGCGTGTTCAGAGGGGTGAAACCGTGCTCCAGATGCAAGGTAGGCGCATACATATATGGAATGTGAGGTCTTGGTGGTGTTGTGGTGCTGCATGCACGTCGGGAGGTATCACATCCGCGCAGTATGACACGGGATGCATGGCGTACGCGCTGGCTTTTGAGTCGACTCAAGTATCACATCCGTGCAGTATGACACGGGATGCATGGCGTACGCGCTGCACAAATGGAGCACGGTAGGAAGCAATTTTATAGAGCCGCATGCTCTCAATCAACCCTGCCCACGTGTGTGCCCCGGAAATCTTCCTCCTCTCGTTCCATACATCCTCATTCGACCCCCCCCCCACCGTGTGTCCTCCTTTCCATTATTTCCCCTCCCATCCCTCTCCACTCCTTCCTAATCCTTTCCTCGTTCTCCCCGTGCCCACTCTGCCCGTTATCAGATCACTACAATCGACCAGCTGACAGCTGAATCTGGCAAGGAGCCCCTTCAGGTATTTCCTTTGCCTGATGATTCGGTTAGCTAAGGTACTACTGGCAGGTCATCATATGCTTCTTCACTCTTCCTTCCCCATGGTAGCTCTGATATAAATTTTGGCCTGGAATCTTGGGAGCAGCCTTGTGTTTTTCTCTTCTTGCACCTGCCTTGCTTGTGTTTCTCCTGTCCTATCCTTGCCGCTCTCCTTTGTGCTCCCCCTTACAGACCTTCCTCAAGTTTCGTCGAGGAAAGGACCTGGGCCTTCAAACAAGCATCCAAGACGTTTTCTTTGGAATGAATGTTGTTTTCCAACCTGCTCGTTCTATAGACCCTACTCCTGCTTTGCCTGCAGAGCAGCGCTCCCTCGCCCTGTTGTCACTAGGAGATGAAATCGATGTGTTGGCTGCGGATCCGCGTCTCGCAACATTGTATCCTTGATAAAACCTTATGCTTTCTGCAAGTGACGGCTTCCATATGTGTTGGGTTTGGTTTGGTAGTCATGTGTGATGCGAGTGGATAAGCATGAGGAAATTAGTGTACTGCCTGTACTTGTAAATCTAGTTGCTATTCCACTTTGGAAGTCTTCATACGACGCAATCGCATCATGCTTTTGACGACGCACTGACATCGGCGGCGAAAGTAGGCGAAACAAGACATTTCGTTAGCCGACATTCTTGGCCGACACTCTCCCCGATCAGTCTGTCAGTACCGTTTCGGTTTTCGCTTGCCGTCGCACCCATCCTTGAAGTTACCACCTCCCTCATCGTCTTGGGAGATAGTCCCCATGGTCGGTTTCGGACTCGTGCCTTGTGTATTATCTCGGTGGTCGGTCATCATTGCTCTATCCAGTCCAGCCATAGATGCAGCTATCCCGCAGTGCACCCGAGGGTCTACCATACACACATCCCTTGGTTCTGCTGCCTGCCGTAGTAACCTGGCTGCTGACGGGCCATGGGATGGGAAAAGGCGGGGGAATCCGTGCGATCAGCCGTTTGACCCGTCAGCAGATCGCATTAGCTCTGACGGTACCGTGATCTCCACAGGCAGCTCCTGAGTTCCCCAGTGGCATTTGCGCGCGTCGTCTAGCTGATCGGGCAACTCCAAGGCTCTATCTTAGCTTTCCACTGCGGATGTGCCTCCAGGTCATCCACAATCGGACGGATTGCCTCAGTATTCGCGTATGCTCTCCGCCACGTGGACATCTACACCATTTCTACCACGATTCCTACATCTTACTCACACCTAGAAATGTCTCGGTACATACTCATACATAGTCTCCGCTCTCTTCTGACTCCAATGAACGATCCGCTTTCTTCTCGCCTGATCGTCCGCATGAGCCGATTACCCCAGTAATCTTGTTTCGCAAGGACCCCGTCTCTCTGCGCTATCCCATCTCGCAATCTGTCTGCCCGTCTCTCGTCGCCAAGCAGCGTCGCCTGGGTTGTTGAGGGGTGAGCAACACGGACACGGCCCATGGCGTCGGCAGCGCTGTCGTCCACGCTGTCGCGCGAGTCAGCTGGTACGTGATGCGACGCTGTCGCTCAACGGTCGCTCAAGCGATCGCCAAGTCGCCTATCGCACGCGGAATCCCACACTGCCGCTTCTGCGGAGGCCTAGCAGCCGCGTCCTGGCTTCCCCAATCCCAATTTGCCTCGACGATCCCGACGATCCGCGTTCATTGGGGTGGTTTCCCGACGAGCTTTAGATCACCTCATGCCGTTGCACGGTTAAGAAGAGGACGCGCGAGCAGCACGCCACGAAACACGCGGCGATTAGGTCACTAGTAGTTCTTGAAACACCCGAGTGCCTTCACGTGCAAAACTGCCGCTTTTTCCTTTCTGCCGTTGTACCCCATTGCACCTGTCCACACTCCGGCACGCTTCCCCTCTCTCCTTCTCATAACTTCTCTCTGCTCTCCCCCCGCTACTCCCCCTCCCTTCCGCCTCTCTCTCTCTTTCCTCCTGCGCAGACTCCTTCTGGGACGACGACGACGTGCCGGCGCATCGAACGGATCCCTACGACCCCGAATCCACGCATCTCGCGAGATCTGCCGGACCAGACGGACGGTCAGGATTAGCTGACAGCCCCGATGGCGAGCTCGACTCCCTCATGCCCGGGGGAGGCCTCCGCTCCGCCCACCTCGGCGCTGCACGCGCGGAAAACGGCCAGCGCGCGGACGACTACCTGCACGGCGCCGACGGGCGCTTGGGGCACGGCGGAGGCGGGGGGGAGTTTGGCGGGAGAGAAGCGGGGAAACGGCTGCGCGAGCGGGAGATGGAGCGCGCGTTCCGCGGGTGGCCGTCGTGCTGGCAGATCTGGGGCGAGATCCTGGACCAGATGGAGCTCGGCGCGCCTCTGTCCGCCGCCAACCTGCTCAGCTTCGCGCGCTTCCTCTTCTCCCTCGCGTTCCTCGGCCGCCGCAGCACCCTGCTGCTCGCCGCCGCCGCCGTTGCAATCACCTTCACTAATGTCACCGGCTTCTCGCTCCTGATAGGGCTAGCGTCCGGGATAGAGCCCTTGTGCGCCCAGGCGCATGGGGCGCAGCAGCCGAAGACCATGGGGCTGCTGCTGCGGCGCTCCTCCCTACTGCTCACCCTCGCTTCCATCCCCATTGCCATCCTCTGGTTTAACTCCCAAGCGCTCCTCCTAGCCGCGGGGCAAGACGGTCCCTTAGTGTCTGAAGCCGCCACGTTTATTCTCTGGCTCCTACCAGACCTGTTTCTCTCCGCGCTAGTCAACCCGCTCCGGATCTTCCTAAGAGCGCAGGGCATAGTGCGCCCGGTGCTGGTAGGGGCCGCGCTCTCACTCGCAGTGCATGTACTAGCGACCTGGCTTCTCGTGGCAGGGCCTGTGAGGCTGGGCTGCGCTGGCGCGGCTGCTGCTGCGTCTATCTCCGATCTGTTCCTCTGGCTGCTGATGCTGTTTTACCTGCACTGCTTCACAGACGTTCCCAGGAGGTGCGGCCTCCTTGTTCCTCTCTCCTTCTCTGCTACCCCTCTCACCCCAGCAGCAGCAGCAGCAGCAGCAGCAGCAGCAGCAGGAGTCAGCTCCCCCCGGTCCCCCCGCCCCTCCATCTCCTCCACCTTCCCCATCTCCCCCGCCTCCCCCGCCTCCCCTCTCTCCCCCACGCGCCACCTCTCCGCGCGCCCCTCCGTGCTGGCGCAATGGGGCCCACTCATCCGCATGTCCCTCCCCGCGTGCGCCACCATATGCCTCGAGTGGTGGTGCTACGAGCTCTGCATGCTGCTATCCGGCCTCCTCCCAGACGCCACCACCTCAGTCGCCGCCCTTGCCATACTCTTCAATCTAGACTCCATACTCTACTCGCTCACGGCAGGCCTGGCTGCCGCAGCAGGCACCAGAGCAGGGAACCTCCTAGGCTCGGCTTTCCCGATCCTGGCGCGGAACGCGGCGCTAGTTGCTCTCGGCTGCTCTCTACTGCTCGGAGTCACCCAGCTAGCTGTGCTCTGGGCGGCCAGGGAGCCGCTAGGCCATGTATTCACGCAAGATGCAGCAGTGTTGGAAGTTGTCACTGCGCTGCTGCCCATTCTAGGACTCTTGGAGGTTTTCAACTCGGTGCAGACGGTTATGACAGGGTTGCTGAGGGGTTGTGGCCGGCCGGATGTGGGAATGTATGTGAATCTGGGGGCGTTTTACGTGCTGGGCTTGCCTCTGGGCCTAGGCCTGTGCTTCCTAGCAGATCTGGGGTTGCTGGGGCTCGTGCTGGGGCTGCTCGCTGCTGTGGTGACTTGTAGCTTTTTCACGGTGTCTGCTGTGCTATCCACGGACTGGAAAGCAGAGGCGTCGAAAGCAACGGCCAGGATTGGTCCTCTGCCTGTCGCGGCTATTGCTGATGTGTTGTCACCAAGGGGAGGGATGGTGGGAGAAGGGATGGCGACGCATCGGAGGAATAGGGTGGAGGAGGGGATGTATGGGGTGCGTGAGGAGGAGGAGGAAGGGGAGGAGAAGAATGGGGCTGGTGAGAGGGAGCAGGAGATGGCAGCACTGACGGGATCGAGGCTTAATAAATTTGATCAAGTCCTATGAGTGGCAGGGGGATGCAAGTACCACGCTTCACTTGTTGTGGGAGGTATGTATGTCACTGTCAGCTTTATAATATTTTTTATGGAAGTTGGAGCTGTGCCACTACACTAGCAAGTGCAGAGATGGTCATACTCCTTCCATTGTAGTGACCTGCACATCCCCTCCTCCTCTCCCCCTCATTCCCCCCCTTCCTCTCACGCACACATGTACACTCTTAATCTCTATCACTTTCTCCCTCCACTCACACACACGCGCATGCCCCCCCACACCCTCCTATAATGGCATTATCTTCTCCTGCACATCCCTATTCCTTTTGAGACCTAATTCGATCAAACCCTCCTTCCCGCTCCCCCTTTCCCCCCCCCTTCCCCCCCCCTCTCCCTCTCCCTGTCACAGAAAATAAGCCAAGCCGACCGTGTAAGGGTTGTGCTAGGGAGGGAACGAGATGCACATGTGGTTACGGTTACTGGAAACCAGATTCCCTGGTTTGTGGCCTCTCAACTGCCGCCCCATGTCGGTTCGACCACAATCTATAATTTGTTACTCGGTGGTGAATGGTGGTGTGGTGGTGACCCTGCTCCTGCAATTTCGAAGCTGATACGTACTGTACCGTACCGTACCACCATTTTCATGAACAATTCAACTTTTATGACATATAGCCGCATCTTAGAACTGAATAATGAATGACAAGAGAACCTCGTACAAGGATATACATCTAAGGGTTGTACTCTCTAAGAGGTGACCCTATACAGTCTATGCAAACATTAGAGATACAAATGTTTGACACACCCCCTAGACTGCATAGGGGCAGTTCCTGAACAAGCAGCTCAGGGCGGCACTACTAGTCCAGCCACTGAGACAAGGGTCTAAAGACCAGTCAAAAAGGAGTACAGGCAAGACAAGAACAAGATCAGGGCGGCACTACTAGTCCAGCCACTGGGAGAGGACACAAGTCCAGTCTAAGTAAATGTATATAAAGGACAGTACAAAGTCAAGGCCCTAGCAAGTGAGAGGCTTCAGGAACTAGACCGAGCTATACACAGTGCCGCTGATGATCTTAAGGCGCAAGCGCCTTTGTAAAGATATCAGCTGTGTTGGCACCTGAGGCCAAGTGTACTACGCGCGCCTGGCGGCGCTGCTGTAGCTCGCACAGGAGGAAGTACCGCAGCTGGATATGCTTCGCTCTGCCCTCCAGTCGAGGCTCCTGACACAGGAGGATCATGGCCCTGTTGTCAGCGTACAGGACCGGGGCAGAGCTAGGCCGCTCACCTAAGTTAGTGAGCAAGAAGGTCAGCCAGCGGAGCTCCTGTGCCGCCATGGCACCAGCGTATATCTCGGCCTCACAGCTGGACTGGGCAACAGACGAGGAGCGGGTAGCTCTCCACGAGACGGCACCTGAACCAAGGCTGAAGCAGTAGCCCTGAAAGGACCTGAGGGTCTCGGCGTCGTCTGCCCAAGAAGCGTCTGTGTGTCCAGTAAGGACCACTGGCCTGCGTCCTCCTAGCACTAACCCCATGCCCGATGTACTTGCAAGATAACGCAAAACCCTCTTAGCGGCCAACCAGTGCTGCGGTCGGTGTCTGCCTGTGGCCACAAAGTGAGCCAGGATGCTGAGAGGGTATGCGAGATCTGGGCGAGTGCAAGTCATCAGGTACATGAGGCAACCGACCAGCTCTGCGTAACGACCACTGGGCTCTACTGACTCCTCAGGAAATAGAGCGGAGAGTCTGTGGTCTACAGGTAGAGGGGTGGGCTGTGCAGAGGAGAACTGAAGGCGGAACCTCTGAAGGACCTAGCGCACCAAGTGTGACTGAGTCAAAGTGATGGTGCGCGCTGCTCTATCCCTAGAGATCTGCAAACCAAGGTAACGGCGTAGTTCTCCAAGGTCAGTGCAAGTGTGTCTCTTCAGCAGCTCTGCCTTCACCGAGGCCGGTGCATCCCTGTCTGCTGTGGCAAAGACCAGATCATCCAAGTAAACAAGGATGTAGAACGGAGTCTGGCCAGCACGAACGAAGAGTGAGGGGTCTGCGGAGGACGGAAAGAACTGCAGGTCAGCAAGCGTAGCACGCAGCGAGTCGTGCCACCCACAGGGAGCCTGCCGCAGGCTGAAGACGGGACGCCGCAGAACCACTGGGTCCCAAGAGGGAAGGTGCCAGTGAAACCCTCAGGGCGACGCAGGTAGACCTGCTCGTGTAGGCTGCCCTGAAGAAACGTAGTGGAGAAGTCGAGGGAGTGAAGCTCGTAGTCACGCTGAGCAGCTACATGTAGCAGCACCCGAAGAGTAGTCATCTTCGGGGTCAAAGCGAAAGTCTGGAAGAAGTCCACCCCCTCACGCTGACTGAAACATCTAGCCACATAGCGCGCCTTGAACACAGGCGGCTCTCCAGGAGGGCGCTTCACCTTGAAGAGCCAGCGGCCGTCGACTACGTTCACCCCAGGTGGGGGAACTGCATCACCGAAGGTACCAGTGGAAGATGCCATCTCCTGCTCCATGGCAGCTATCCACTGAGAGGCCCAAGGTCCTGAAACAGCCTCAGCGTAAGTGCGAGGGGTCGGGATGTCGAAAGCGTCTGGGTCACCCTCAGGGACTAGCGGCATGGAACAGAGATGGGGAGCAGCCTCGGAGAGGAAAACAAGCTCGAACTGGCGGTCCTCCAGGACGTCACTGCCGAGGGCAGGAGCACCCCCGACGGACGGAGGACGGGCAGGGTCAGAGACCAGAGCGGTGGCGTAGTCAAGGCGGCGGGTAGAGGCGAAGTCAGCGACCGCAACGACAAGAGCGTCAAGACACGAGACCGGAACGGACGGGTCGGTAACGAGAGAGGCGAGGACCCGAGGAACAAGAGGACGAGGGGCACGAAGGTAGTTAGACAGACGAGGAGGCGCAATGGTAAGAGAGGACGGAGGAGGCGACGGTAGAAAGGGAGGATGAGACCCGTGGGAACGGAGCAACATAGGGTGAGAGCACGTGACAGGGGAGACAGGACGAGCGCGGGAGGGACGGCGGGACCAGACGTGAGACAGAGGCGTCAAGTCAGGAGACAGAGGAGGGGACACAAGGGGGGAGCGAGGGGGAAGACGAGCCGGGGACGAGTCCGGCGGAGGGAACACAGGGCCGTAGACAGGAAGAGGAGGAGACGGCAGGAGCGGAACAGACGCAAGGTCAGGGGACGGAAGGCCGAGCAGGCGAAGGGCTGACACCGGCGGGGACTGCTGCTGCGGTGGCACAACACCAACACCGGGACCGCAAGCTGCTCCTCGGCTACCTCCCGGACACTCCACTCCGGCACCCCCAGAAGGAACACCCCGAGAGCCTGAAACCCCGCAAGCATCGATACCACCCCCAGGGCCACCGGGGCAGGCCACCACAGGAACCCCAGAACTAGCACCCACTCCAACGCGGGCACCCCCAGGGTCGAAGAACTATTGCTGCGACGGCGGCGGCGGCGGCGGTAACGACGGGTGCGGCGGCGACGGCGGCGGAGACAACGGCTGCGACAGCAGAGGTGACGGCGGCTGCAGAGGCTGTGGAGGAGGAGACACCGGGGGAGGGGCAGACGGCGAGGACTGCGCCGCAGGACCACCAGAGTCAAAGGACTCCTCGACCGGGACAACCGACGGGAGAGGGGTGACGTGGGACACACCAGAGGGGGTAGGACGGGGAGGGGGAGGGGGGGGGGCAGGGACCACCGGGGAAGGAGTGACCAGGAACAGGGGGGGAGTAACAGGGGGACCGCGGTGGGGGAAGCGACGGTAGAAGGAGACGGACTCGTCAAAGGTGACGTCGCGAGAGTGAAAGAACCGGTGAGACGGCGGGTGGTAGAAGTGCCAGTCGGAGGTGTCAAAGGGGGAACCGAGGAAGACACAAGGAAGGGTGCGGGCAGTGAGCTTGTCCGTGTCAGAGGCACAAACGTGAGCAAGGCAGCCCCAGACGTGGAACGCAAACGCGTCACCAGGAGACCCGGTCCAAAGAAGGGTCGGCGAAACGTGCGGCCGCTGGGGGTGCGGCCACAGGTTAAGCTGGTGAGCAGCGTAGCGCACGGCGAACGGCCACAGAAAATGGGGTGCACCGGTATGGATCATGGAGGTGCGAGCCACCTCCATGACCAAACCGATGCGTCGCTCAGCGACCCCATTTTGCTGTGGGGAGTCCGGCAGGGTGAACGTCTGGGTAAGGGGAAATGAGGAGGAGTGAGGGGCACGGCGAAGCCGATCCTCGACACAAGGTGTGCACAGTGGGGCGGGGAAGGAGGGAAATGTGGGAAACGACAGAAGCGACCAAGGACACCTGAGGCAAACTTGCCACCATGGTCCGAGTGAAGACGCAAGACATGGAGACCTCGGTGGACACGCGCAGAGGCAAGCCAGGGGATGAGAGCGTCAGGCACATCAGCCTTTTGCTCCAGGGGAAAGACTGTGGTGTAGCGAGTGAAGTCGTCGACAAGCACGAGGAAGTAGCGCTCTCGACGCGGCCCATGGACGGGGGCGGGGCCCCAGACGTCCATGTGCAGGGTCTGCAGCGGCGCGGCGGTAAGGGGAAATGAGGAGGAGTGAGGGGCACGGCGAAGCCGATCCTCGACACAAGGTGTGCACAGTGGGGCGGGGAAGGAGGGAAATGTGGGAAACGAACCGGGGAGACCAAGGACGAGACCGTGCTGGGATATGTGATGCAGATGCAGGAGGGCAGGGTGACCTAGGTGGTGGTGCCACGGGAGAGTCGGGTGAGTGAGGGACCGACAGAAGCAGGCAGCAGCAACCTGGGAAGACGCAGCCACCTGAGGGAGTGCCCCAGCCGGGGGGGGTAACGGTGTCCAGGGTGAATAGGCCGGACACCGGGTCCCGGGGCAACGTGGAAAGGGGGGCACCAGTGGCAGCCTCGGTACAGACAGCATACCGCTCGTGACCAGGGAACGTAGTGGTGACGCCAAGGTCCTAGAGGCAGCCAACACCAACTAGGTTCCTGGAGAACGAGGGGATATGCAGACCTGTAAGAGAGCCCGAAGGAACCGCCGGACAGGGAAGGGTGGTGGAACTGCGGGCGACTACTGGACCGCCAGAGGGGTCAGCAAGAGAAACTGCAGCAGGAACAGGAAGCGGTGTCAGCGTAATGGAGTCGCGGAAGAAACACCGAGAAGCGCCAGAGTCCAAGGTGAAGGAAAGCGCAGCAGTGGAGGCTGGCGGCGGAGCAGCGGCAGAAGCACCGAGGCTAAACAAAGCAAGAGATCCTACGCCTGACGCAGCAGGGGAGGCTAAGCTAGGCACACCTACACTAGGCGACAAGTGGTAATAAGACGGAAGCACACTAGAGTCATCAGCATACATTACATGCAGGGCAGCAACAATGGCATCCATGTCCATGTCAAAAATATGAACTGTACGGCTAAGCAAACTGTGCCAGTCGGGGAGGTCGGGCGACGGGCCGAACCGCTGACGAAACAGGTCGTCCAAGCGACGAAAACAGCGGGCAGTGGTGTGACCGATCTTACCGCAAACGAAGCCGCGGTGAGGACCGGTCTGGAGCTGGTACTGACAGCGCACGCCTCTCGAACCGCCACTCGGAACACCACCACGCGCACGACCATCACCAGCGCCAGGCCACCCGGGCGGGAGGCCACTCGCCGGCCTCGTCTGCTGCGGCTGGTGCGGGGGCTGCGGCTGCTGCGGCTGCTGGGGCGCCTGCTCTGCCAAACCCGGC